TATTATTTGCATTTGTTGATGTTCGTAAATAAATTGCAAGGTATCGTCAGCTGTGCGAGAAAAACGAGACATTTGCTGATGGATCCGATTATTTCTAGACTCTTCGGTGCCACGCAACATCGCGTTTTGAGAACCTCTGGCCTCGTGAGAGAGCGCGTACGTACTGTGCGTCGCTATAAGTTGCGATCGTGATCCGAGCCCCGGGAGGAAAGGAGATACTTATCAGCGCGGACGTAACGTGTGTGGGACTGCAGCCAGTGTCTCGCGTGGAGATCAAGCAGGTTTCCGACATGAAGGCTATAATACAGCGAGTGTCGAAGGCTTCGGTTTCAGGTAAAGCACTGTACTTGCAAATTGGATGCAGGACTTCCTGCAAATATGTTTACATATGAATCTGCATAAATTTGTATCCCCCGCGCGATAAAAAGAAATTTATAACGTTAATGAAATTTATAACGTTACCATTTATTGTAGTGTCAATACTTGCAATTTATGTGATACGGATTGATAAGAATTGTAACTCGAATTATATATGAGCTATCTCATGTACGGCAGTTAAGACCCAGGTATAATTTTTCAGTTGACGGCGAAGTTATTAGTAGCATTGGGAATGGACTGTGTGTGTTAGTCGGTATAAAGAGAGACGACGGAGCGGCGGATATGAAATACATGTAATGAGATAACATCTAATGATTATTACGTTGCATCTCGTGCGTGCAGTTGAACGTTAATCTCTCTGTGTCGTAGCGTAAGAAAGATACTGAATACCAAAATTTTTGACGATGACAAGGGCAAAAAGTGGGGCGCCAGCGTGGCGGATAACAAGTACGAGATATTGTGCATTAGTCAGTTTACGTTGTACCATGTGTTGAAAGGGAATAAGTTAGACTTTCATAGAGCGATGCCCGCCCAAGAGTCGGAACCCTTTTACATGAATTTTCTCGCCGAGCTTCGTAAAGACTATGTCCCAGAATTGGTCAAAGGTAATGTAACAGATCTAATACAAGATGTACGATCCATTCTCTTACACTTTGCTCGGATACGCGACAATGAAGCGACTTCGCCGAGGAGTCTCGAAATCTTTATATTTGACAAATTTATGCAGATGGTAAATTTGGTGCAATGATGGAAGTTTGCATACAGAACAGCGGGCCGGTAACACTGGAAATAGAATCCCCAGCCAAGTCCACTTGTAATGATAATACTGGAAGTGTAGAGAATAAGAAAGAGTGAATCAAGCATCTGTTTATGTGTTATAAGACAGACCGTTCAATAAATTCATGCCGAATGTAATATATAGTATATATCTGTTTATTTAACCTAATCATTATTTTAAGTCAATTTTTGCTTCAAAATTTAAATTAGATACCTTAAGATTGATATTATATACGTAATATAAAAATTAAATATCTTCACAAGCATAATTTCTGTATCCATGTGTCAACAATTTACTCAAATATTTTTTTAGTTTTTATTAGAGCATCTACATGTACATAAAAATACCTTAGACATGTACATAGACACCTTAACATTGATATTATATACATAATATAAAAATTAAACAACTTCATAAGTATAATTTAAAGTATCCATATGCCAACAATTTATTCAAATATTTTTTCAGTTTTTATTAGAACATCTACATGCACATAAATTATTTTTAATACATTGTGTCTCGTTATGGATACATTTATTAGCGACTAAACTAAAATAAATTAGAATATCTCATATAAAACCGAGTTCTACAATTTGTTTCAGACGCTGACTAGTGAATTGTAAAATTCAACAATAATTTGCATTTAACAATTAATAATGGCAACTTCTGAAGAGAAGAGAGTTATACAAAATGAGAGTAGCAAATCAGGAGGACAAGATCAAGGTACATACTTATTTCAATACATGAATATATTAAAAGAATTATTCAACTATATTGTTTTACAAAATAAATTTATTTCAGATAAGATTGTAGAGACTGGTGTACGAGACACAAGAGTAGAAAAACCAAAAGGCGAATTATCCATTCCTAAAAATGACACGTCCGTTAATCAACGACAGGTATAATAATTTTTTTTCTCATAAGATCAATTACATTATCACAATATTCTTATTTCCTAATTTTAGACACGCGAGAGTCAGACAGATCCTGAGGATACAGAAACTATAGAACAATTAAAAAATCAGTTGGGTGTGTTAATGAATCAGCTGGCCACTCTATCGGCAGAGAAGTCAAAAATGGAAGCAAACTTCCAAGTGGACAAGAAGCAATTGAGAAGCGAACGTGACGAAGTAAGATGAGACGTTTGATCTTCCTTTTATCAGGATGATTGTTCAATTGGATCGTTGCTCAATTGAGCGTTAATGTTTGCAGTGTGAGAAAGTAATTAAAGATCTGAAAGACAGACTGAGGAAGGCTCAAAATGTCAATCATTCCGAAATCGAGCATATAAAGTGCAAATTAATCATGGAACGGCACGAGAGAGAGAAGGAACACGCCGACCTTATCAAAAGGATAAAGTAATTGCTTTGAGCTTCTATAATTATACATATAAAATTACACTATTCGCGAGACTTGTCTATATGATGCAAACATAAAAGTTTGCGATATTTTCACGATAAGATTTTATGAAGTGTATCCATGGACGATATTCTTGCAGAGAACTGCAGAAGTTACTGTACGACGAGCAACGTAGCAAGGAACAGCTGGAAGGGCAATTGAAGACGCATCTCGCGAATAAGACGCAATGCAAGATTCTCGAAGCCGAGCTAGAAATTACGAAGACCAAGCTCAAACAGGCCGAAGAAGCGGCGAAGGAGACACCGCCGGTCCTTCTCTCCCTACAAGCCGAGATGGCCATGATGAAGAAGCAACACTTGAATGCGATTCGTGAGGTAAAATTCGCCTTATTAAAGCACGTTACATATGAAAACTGAAATTGTCGGGTGTAACATAAATTAAGCAATACGTTTTGATGTAGGAGCAAAAAAGGGCCGCCGCGGCAGAGCAGCAAGCGAGAGGATCGGTCGTCATACACGAGACGAGAGTGGCTAGCTTGGAGGCTCGCTTAGCCGAACTCTCCGAGATCGTTGGAGGCTACGACAGGCTGAGGCAACAGGACCAATTAGCCATTCAGAAGTTGAAGGACCAATTAGCTGCTTTACAGGACACCGAGCACAGCGAGGTCGTTGCCTCGAGTAACCACCCGGAGGAAATTATTTCCAAGATAAAGTCTTTGTATACTCGCTTGCTGGATCTCGACAACAAAAAGAAAGATTCAGCCTATGTGAAATGTAAGTGATGCTGAACATTTGACTAAACATGAAATGATGAGGATGAAAATTTGAATAAATAACTTAAACATATATTTGCGCTTTATGTGCAGCATTATTGAATAGTTTGGATTTGCAAGATGAGCATCCTGATTATAAGGAGAAATACGACACGCTTCTACAAGAATTTGAAGACTACAAGCATCAAACGATGTGCAAATATAACATGTCTAACGCGCTTCGTAGCACTCAACAACAGAGGCACGGTCTATCTTTGATGCATGATAAGGATCACGACAAGACCCAATTGAATCTTCTTAAGGTTCACAACAGTAATTTGGAGGAAAGGATACGTATGATCAACAACGAAATGTTGAATAAAGAGAGAACTTTGCAGGAGCAATTGGAGCATCAACAAAAGGTGATTATCTCGATAATAATTTATTTCAACAGCGATGAGGAATTTTCAAATCTTTTTGATTTTCGATGAAAGTTTCCATGAATTTAGTCCTTTTAATTAAAAGAATTAATAAATCAAGTTGTATCCTTAGATGTTTCAGGAAGAACACTCGAAGCTGGAGCACACGTTGCACCAAAAAGATAACGAGTATCGTAACAGAATATCCGTACTGGAGCAACAATTACTGCGGCAAAGAGAGAGGTCCATGGCACTCGTGGAGGAAAAGGACAAAGAGATATTGACCTTAAAGACATCATTTCGCGCATTATTACCTAACAAGGAGACCGCTGTTACGATGGAAAGCAAGACACACTTGAAGAGATACGAGAATACCATCGAGCCGGTTACCGATTTGGTAACGGGATTATTGACGAGCGATAGCCCCCCGATACTGCATTACACTCAGGAATTGGCCAGGAAAGAAGTGCAGGTGTCATCGTCAAGGAAAAAGGTTCTGGAATTGGAAGCGACGTTGCGAGAGCAACAGAGAGAAATGCTCCATATGAAAGAACAGCAACAGGAGGAGATAAAACGGTTGAAGGCGCATATCACTAGGTACTCGTAACACGTCGCTATAAATAATTAATAAAATATATTTACATACGGAACTGATAAAAATGATTTGTATTACAGGCTGGAAGCGTGCAAATCGAGGGAAGGTGCTAATCTGGAATACCTGAAAAACGTATTTATAAATTACTTAACGACGAACGACGCGTCGAGCAAACGACATATGTTAAATGCCATTTCAACAGTATTGCGTTTTACACCCGATGAGCTGAGTAAAGTTAAACATTGAGAATAGATATTTTTTTATTATATGAATATATTTCTCATATAGAAAAAAAATAAACAAATGGTTATAGATTCTCTCAATACCTTTAAATTCCTTCCTGATCTTCCTGTGTCTTCTCTGCTCCTATTTGGTACAACTTCTCCAAATGTGCCATGTCTCTCATTAAGAAAAGCAATATACTTTCACGCTCTGCGGCCGATATCAAGGCCAATCATTATTATAAAGAAAATTATAATAACAGCTTGTCTTGTTACAATAACATTATAAATTTGGTCACTGTTGATTAATTTGCCGCATGTACCTCTAAACATCATAATTACTTTGCACTGTGTTTTGCGATTGTGCAATTGTTTTTTCAATTGCTCTAGAGTAGCTCTTATTTTTCAGAATTGTAGTATACGCGAGTAAGAATTTGTGTATTTTAATTATTACAGTAAATATATTCGTATGTCTTATTACATTTATTCAAATTTTTTAATATACTTAGTAAAAAATTCTCATATAATATTTTAAAGAATTTTTCATATTTTAAATTTGCGAAAAATTTTAATAGAGGTTTTAGTTCACCAATCAATGCCTAATGTGTAGATGATTAAATCACTCAAAAAGTGTCCGCAACAATACAGTCTGGATTTATTAAAAAATAGGAAAAATTTTGTGCCAAATAATCGATTAATAAACGATCTAATCTTTTGAAAACAAACAGGTAACATTTGACTTGACTAAACTGCATAAAATTTATTATCGTATCTTTATTATTATTTGCATTTATTGATGTTCGTAAATAAATTGCAAGGTATCGTCAACTGTGCGAGAAAAATGAATATTTTTTACTTGTATAAATAAAATTGCTGTGCTGATAGATCAATTATTTCTAGGCTGCTACAGTATCACACAAAACCATCACGTTTAGATTACTTAACGACGAGTAAACGGCACATGTTAAATGCCATTTCAACAGTATTGCGTTTGACATCGAATGAGCTGAGTAAAGTTAAACATTGAGAATAGATATTTTGTTATTATATAAATATATTTCTCTTATGAAAAAAGTAAATACACAAATAGTTATAGATTCTCTCAATACCGGGATTAAGTTTCTTCCTGTGCCTTCAGTTCCTCTATGAGCCGTTTGCGCTCCTCTGCTCTCCTTAAGCTCGCCAATACGGTACTTTCAAGCTCTGCGTCCGACATCCTTGTCTGCTGCGTCTACATAACGTGAAAATGTTACAAAAAAAATATTGTGGCAACAGTAGCGCGAGATAAATTGATTGCGAGTCTTATTATGAAATGCAAATACTACATACGAATATATCAGGCGCGTCAGGAAAACTAACATGCGACGCACATGGCGTGCTGTTCGCACGCGTGGTTGCAGGAAATGTAGGAAACCTAGGTTGTTCAACGTTAGAATTTGCAGCTGAACGTTTCTGCTCCCATAGGCCACGTAGCGTTAATGGGTTTTTCGCTAAACCAATTTCTGTTAAGAGCGCCGTTTCCTGAAACGAACATTTTATTAAAGAATTTTTGTCTCGAATTTAGATTATGCATACATATAATTTGATCGTTCCACTATCAAGTATTTTGCGAACTTACTGCTGCATCCTTATTTCCAAATTCAATCAAGGCGCTACCTTTCTTTTTTGATGATATAACAAGACCTGCTATGTTTCCATACTGTGAAAAAAAGTAATAATTAGAAATATCCGATGTGTAAAATGAAAATTCAAAATTAAATTATGATATATTACCTTAGAAAACATTTTATGTAAATTGTCGTAATCATATCCACCATTTGTTGGATCATCATCTTGTACCTTCCATCTAATTTTGATTCTAAAATCTCCCACGTTAGACGTTGAATTCTTCGATGTTGAGCCATGTTTCAAATTTTTTAAAAAAAGTTCCCGTGTAAAGAGCATCTCTTCTTCTATTTGTTTATACCATTCTTGGAGTCTTTTTACTTCTGCCTGAATAATTACGTACTTTATATGTCTGAACTAACAATCTAAAAAGCTATTTTAGCAAATTCCAAACAATAAGAGGGCTAATGAACCAAGCTAAATGTACATAGACGTCATAAATTAATGTGCTTACTCAACAATCTGCTTAAATAAATTCAAACGTTTCAAACCTTAAATTAGCCTTCATCTTCAATGCATTTTTAACACACAATCAAAAAGTCTATATGTTTGAATAAACTTGTTAGCCCTCTTATTGTTCATAATTTGAATTTTTATTCCTATGAGCTCCTTTCATTTTTATGTAAAATTAAAATTTTATTTTAGCAAAATTAAGCTGATGTACCTTTCTTCGTTCTTCGTCGGATTTGCTCACAGGATCAAATGACCTCTTGTATGCCTCCTCACGTGCCTCCAATTCATCTTTAAATTTTTTCCTTTTGGCGTCAAACTGCCGAACACGTTCCTTCGCCTCCTTCCTGGCAGCGATGGCCTTATCGTACGCCGTCTTGTTTCACAACACATTTAAAAAAAATTAGACCAGCTACGAGACTTTCTAGAAGTCTAAGAAAAAGAAATGATAATGACGATGTTAATGAATTCTAAAGAGATGCCGATATACTTACTCTGGCATTTGCGTCTGTTAATGTTTCCAATACTTTTGATAATTCTAAGAATAATTCCGCGGCTCTTGGATTATCTGGGTTTTTGTCGGGATGACAACTTAATGCTTTTTTGCGGTACGCCTTTTTTATCTGAAAAAACGAATAATATCAAGCGTTTTCTCACGATACTTCCTCATTGCATAAAATATTTTACTCCGCTATAAAAATAAGTGTAAATGTTTTTACGCAAATAACCGTTTTATGCGAATTTCTAAGAAACAAACTGCAGGTACAAACCTCTTGCATAGACGCCGTTGGCTCCACACCAAGTAGTCCATATAGATCAATTTGCGTATTTGGATCCATTATTATTATATACTTTTTTTAATTCTCTTCTAAAAAAATTTTATTTGTATGTACTATGTATGTACAAGTAATAAAAATATTTATGATGTATGTATATAGCGTAAGACCGTTGGAAGGTCGGCGGGAACCAAGAAGATACCTGAGGAAAGATGCCTGGAAGAAGGCGAACAGAGTCCTCTGAGATATGATAAGTCGAAGAGAAGGCTTGGCAGATTTCCTGGGAAGTGCGAGAATAAAAACACTTGTCTATTTCGTCGTCTTCGCTTTACTAACAATAAGTCAGGAGAGGAGACACGACGGCACGTCTGCCTCTCAGTTCTAACGCTTGCTCGCTTCAATCTGTTGACTGCTCTCGCCCTTGACAATGCCACATTCCACAATGCGCACGATACAAATATTTGTATATTGTATTTAGTGGAAAATCAAATATTGAACAGCCTTGAGAAAGGCGCTGACAATAGTTTAGTTTCTCAACTGTTTACACTCTCTTCGAGGTTATGCTGCCTTTCTTCTGATAGCTTAATTAATTATGATGATCAATCTCCAGTAGGTTTTTTTTTAAAGAGATAATTAAACAATCTTTATAATCCTTCCAATCTTTTTGATGAGATACTTAAAGATTATCCCAACTTTTTCCCATTCACTTAGCACGTAAACACACTCTTATTAGGTTAACCCCACTTTAACCTAACCGTATGCGTTTACACGTGACTTGCGCTTGCGTAAATACATGCGTGACGTGTGTTATCAGCAATATCTTCGGCTCTTACATATGTATATACATATGCGTGACGTATAATCGTACAGTAGATCCGAACGCGAGATGATCACGAGAAATCTGCTCCGAGGCGTTCCGCGTCTTCGATGCGTTCTATTACAGGTATCGCACCACGTGTGTCGTAATACGATTGCTCATTCGTCCTTATAATTCAGTGCAACGATATATATGTTCATCAAACTGAAATTCATGCATGTACTCTTGTGATGAACGTTTCTCCAAAACATACGTACTTTGCGATTGTGCAATTGATTTTTCAGTTGCTCTAGAGCCTTTGTTATTTAAAATTGTAGTACACGCGAGTAAGAATATTCGTGCATTTTAATTATTACAGTAAATATATATTCGCGTGTCTTATTATATCTATCAAAATTTTTTAACATATCCCAGTGAAAAAAATTCTCATATAATTTTTTAAAGAATTTTTCATTTTTTTAAATTTGCAAAAAATTTCTAGAAAAGTACCTTAATTAATTTCTTCAGGTTTTATAAGTTTTCCTCGGAAATTATAGCATGAAAAGTCTTAGAAATCCTAGAATCTTTCAGAATTTATGTAGATTATAAAAAATTTAATAGAGATGTAGACTTTTACAGCACTTCTAAAAGTGTTTCAATTCGTATAAAAAAATTTAAGAAATTTTCTAAAAGTCACAAAACTGTACATATATAGAAATTCTGAAAAATTATATGAAGAATTCCAAGAAAAATTTTCACCATAATAAGTATATTTAATTATAATGGAATGTAGTAAAATCAATGAACAAATATTAAAAATATAAATGGAATATGTAGATGATCATTTGAGATGTTACATGATATTTCATTAATTTTTTATTTTTTTATTTTTTTATTGGTGTCTAATAATTTTTTTTAGATAAAACAATACAGCACCAGATCAAGCGAGCCGCAATTCTTGGGAATCAATAATAAATTTACCAATAGTATTCAGTTTGTCAACAGAGAAAATTATGAATCTATTCCGATATATAGGATTTTGGAGTCTTCGCAGAAGGTTGAGTTACCTGAAGACGAAAAGGTTTGTGATTATCAGAGTTATAAAAGTCACATATACAATTTAGATTTAAATTTAAGGATATGTATATATTTTTTCAAATATCTACTTTTTAATAACTCCAACTTTTGCCACATATATTTATATTAACTTCTTTCTTTTATATTTAACTTAAGTTCAATTAGTATTGATCTGAATAAAAATCTGAAATAAATTAAATTCTCTGAATTAAATTAAAGATTAGACAATACCGAAATAATAGGTACAGGAAACTGAATGTTATTCTTGCATTTACAGCTAAACGAAGTGTATCTGCAGAAAATGTATCGCGATATGACGACCTTAAGCGTGATGGATAAGATAATGTACGAATCGCAGAGGCAAGGCCGGATCTCGTTTTACATGACGAACACCGGCGAAGAAGCCGTGCAGGTCGGCTCCGCGGCCGCTTTAACTCTAGAAGACTTGATTTACGCGCAGTATCGCGAGGCTGGTATGAAATTGCATTGCGCGTGATCTGTCTGGCGTTTTAAGTACGTTAAACGTTATGTACTGATGCAACAGGTGTGTTGCTGCATCGTGGATACCCATTGGAGAAGTTCATGAATCAGTGTTACGGCAACTGCGAGGATGACGGCAAAGGGAGGCAGATGCCGGTGCACTATGGCTCCAAGGAGTTGAATTTCACAACTATATCGTCTCCGTTAACAACTCAACTTCCACAAGGTAATATTCAGTACAAGTTTGTGAAACAACGTCGACAACTGTGATGCTTCAGTGATTGACGGAAGAGTGTTCTGAAACAAGCTCTTTACTTCCGCAGCTGTGGGGGCTGCCTATGCCTTTAAACTGGACAAAAAGAACGCGTGTGTGATTTGTTACTTCGGCGAAGGTGCGGCGAGCGAGGGCGATGCCCATGCGGCGTTCAATTTCGCAGCTACTCTATCGTGCCCCGTTATTTTCCTCTGGTAATTTTTTAAAAATCCTTATTCTCGTATTTCGTGAAATACAATGCATAATGATCACGCTGCTCCAGTCGAAATAACGCATATGCCATCTCCACGCCGGTCTCGGAGCAGCTTAAGGGAGATGGTATCGCGGCCAAGGGCCCGGCTTATGGGATTAACACGATCCGAGTGGACGGCAACGACGTGCTCGCGATGTACAATGCCACAAAAAGTGCTAAAGAGTTTTGCATAAAGGAACAGAAACCCGTTTTGATAGAAGCCATGACCTACAGGTGATCTACTGGATACATGTATCTTGATCTTGTAGAATCGTATCTCTCTCGCTGGAATCCTTCCTGTAAAAAAGAAAAACTTTAGCCTAGTTTAATGAGTTGCACGTCGTAAAAAATCTTTTAGAATCGGGCATCACAGCACGTCGGACGACTCCACGGCTTATCGATCGATCGACGAGATCACTCAGTGGAACGCCCATTCGCCGCTCACTAGGTTCCGTCTGTATCTAGAGTCGCTTGGATTGTGGTGCCAAAAGAGGGAGCAAGAATTTGTAGATTCCACTAAGAAGGAAATTCTTCGTGTCTTTGCGGAGGCAGAGCGCAAGTCTAAGCCACATTGGAAGAATCTATTTACGGACGTCTACAAGGAGGTCCCTGATCACATTAGGTATATCGATATACAACACACAGTTACAAATATATTAATTAGAATTGTTAATGTAACTCTCGGCATTATCAACATTTCACAATTTCAGGAAGCAAATGAATCTAATGGAAAAGCATCTCGAAGAGTTCAAAGAACATTACCCATTAAAATCTTTTACACACGCAAAGTAAGAGAGAGAGAGAGAGAGAGAGGAATTTACCTGACGTATAAATGAATTTTATACTCTTTTATTTTAATAATATAAAGTGCTAAACAATTAACAAAATACATACACGGTGCACAAGAGTATTTACTCTTCTTGTCTTTTGTTTCTATTGCTTTATATTGTCCGCGACTTCTTTGTACTTTTCCATCCTATATTCTTTCTTCGCCGCATCGAGCAGTAGATTATGAAGTAAATTTCGTTCATTCGGATTGTACTGTTCTACGCTTGGGTATATATTTCCTGGAAAAAAAAGGATATAATTGCATAAGTGGACGAAATTTTTGCTTGTCAAAGAATCTTTAGAGTAAAATCTACCTTTGAGTTCTAAAATTGCCCTGTCATAAAGGCCCGTGGGATATATGTTCGGCGCTTTGTGAAGTTTTGTAAACGAGGTGGTGTAATTCTGATATCTCGGCACGAGAACTTTGAACAGTTTGTGCACCAGTTGCTTCTCGAGTATCCAGAAGTTCGCCATGTCCATGGTCTCCTGGTGTGCAGGTCCATGGCGTATCGCCTCAAATATCAACTGCATAATAAAAAGATGTTGTAAAATTTTCAATATTAAATACACAAAACAAGATTAAGTGCAAAATAGCATCAAGTGTGGATCACGATAAATTAGAATTGTTGATAAGTGACGACAATTTGCAGAATGAGATTCAGAGAAAAATAATATCGATACGATCGCGAGAGCAAGTTGAAATTATTAATAAGACAGCAATGTACAAAATAAATTCAGACTAGAATAATATCAAGTGTGAATTATGACGGCAAGTTAAAATTATTCATAAATTAACAACATACACAATAAAACGCAAAATAATATCGAATGTGAACAGCGAGTTAAAAATTAATTGACACGACAATCGCTGTCGATGCCCTTTGAACTCGTCGAGCAAGGAACGTATCTTCATGTTTACGTCGTAAAAAACACATCGCGTATATAATGAATAGAACGTGAATAATTAACGATGCACATGCCTGGTCAACATAACCTCTGGCCTCGTCGGCCCTCGTATAATTCAACTCGAGTCGCTCGTATTTGATCAACGCCGTCAGGGTTTTCTGGAATTTGCGAAGACGTCCATCCGGACCGTCGGGATTTCGGAACCGCCGACGTGGCTTGACATTGTATCTCAATTTGTTCACTAGATTCTCGACGTTCGCCTGATTCATCTTCACCGCGATGTTTACTCCGGTCCGGTTTGCTCCAAAGATTCGGTCATGGCCGACGCTCGCAGGATCATGCGCGCGTTTCAACCGCATTCGGACATGCAATTATACAACAACCGGTCGCAAAATGTTCTTAAGTAATAATAAATAATTTTGATTGTTAAAAATCTAGAAGTGTTATTTTCAGATTGTACAATATCGTTCATTATTCAATATTAGGACATCTATACATGTACAAATAATAAAAATTTAATTATTTAATTATAAAAAATTGCTGTCTTTTCATATGCAAAAGACAGCAATGTCGTTTGATTGCAATTTTTTGAGAAGTTGGATTGAATATCGTCTCAGAATTTCTATCGGAAAATCGCATTTATTTTCCTCAAGTAGTGCAAATCATATAATCGAACAGTTACAGTGAGATCGATGGTATACAAGGCGTTTATTTGTTAACTTTACATTACAGAAATATTACACGAGAGGTCGGCACGACACGACGGGATTAAAGACACTACTGCACTATGTCTTTTATTCGTTTCTTTCGAAAATTACAATGTAACAGAGATGCGACGTATATATAAAGATAATAACACCCGCGGCGCGACAACGAGCCGCGTTCCCGGCAACGAATGTAGTAATAACAAATAATTGCAAGCTAAATTTTTTTTCTCTCAATCGTTTATTCACGAAGCGAACAGAATGACGGGGGGGGTCGTTTTCATTTCGAATAAAGCCGCCTACCGCCGCCGCTTCTGCAACGCGTTCGATGATAAAATGCCACGTGATACCACAGTATGTACTGGTTGTCACAGTAAAAATTACCAGAAGGAACAATGACGTGTACGTATATGTGTGAGAATGTGTAAACGCAGAGGATGGACTAGACCGGCGAATGCTGCGAATTCAATGTTCTCCCTTGAGCAATCCCGAATTCATATTTACTCCAAATTTTTTTTCACGAATCCAACGACTCTGCGAGTTATATTCAATAAAACGGATGATTATGCGATTCACCCGCGAGTTCCCCTCCGATAGAAATCCTCCGTTCGCGGTTTCTGTTTAAAGTTCTCGTGATGTACGAAGTAACGCTAGCAAATAATTGAGCGGGGAAACTCGAGTGATTTCTTTTTTTTTGTTTTTTTTTTTGGTTGATTGGCAGGGCATTTCTATACGTGTCCTTGTATGCGTGCACGTGTAAATTTATGACGTAACGGCCTATCGCTGAACGGGTGGTGCCATTGGAAGACCCGAGGTATTGACGCCGGACAGAGCTGTGTTAGGGCCTAAGAGGACCTGCTTCTGCTGCGTACGCTGCAGGTCTTCCATCTGTGCGCGCTCCATCTCGAAGATGATCGGCGCGAAGAGTATGGTGGACGAACTGAAGACCAACCACGTGGCCGAACACGAATACGCGTATAGACCTGCGAAAAGATGTATTCATATAATGTATAATTCATCCTCTCGTCTTCTCAGGTTCGGTTTCACAAATGTAAAATTAATTTCAATCTTAGTTTAGCTTATACTTTATCTCTACTGCTTATACTTTATCTCTTTCTAATTCTTAGATTAGCAAGAGATAAGGCGAGTTGAACTTTGGTTAAATCGAGTTAACCGTGAATTGTAAAATTGGACCCAAGTCGCTAACTTTGTTAAGTATTTTGAAAACACGCATCTTGAGACTTGAGAGAGAAAATAATGGTGAGAATTAAGAAAGCGTAACCTTACCTTTGATGCATGTGCATAGGCAGGTTCCAACATTGTATCCAAAGTTGCGCACCGGCTCGGGAAACATTTCAGTAAGTCCTAATAACCTTTCTGTTAAGCTCTCATCCTGAATCAAAAAGGACAATTTGATTGATTAGCTTCCAAGTAGTGAAACCAATTATGACAAGGAGTAGCAACTATATACTTTCTTCGCTGTTATTAAAGGAAGCAATAAAAAGAATGTACATAAGACACTAGACTACCGCAAATATCTTATTAACTTTAATTTTAGATAGTTAAGAAAAGCAATATATAAAAACGTTATACTCGCTAAAACGCTATAAATATCGAATCATCAACTCATCAACTTTCGGTCGAGGAAAGCACGTGTGCGTAGATCGTGTACACAATTCATTACGAATATCAGCACCAGGTGAGACGTCGGAGAGCCGGCTTTTCTCTCATCATCAAATTTCGCAGTGATCTTTGGTGTCGCAAGACCTCGCGGGATCGTGTATAGAATTCTGAAGATTCTTATTACCGATCCCTCGGAACGGTCCGCATTTCACAGACATCATGGCACGCGCAAGCCATGGAGCTATCCCACGAGGGACATCATCTTTTTCCCCCCGTGTACAAAGGCGATCTTGCTCGTACCTCCTCGTCATCGTCCTCGTCGTCGGGGAGGAGCGACTTCACCTCGGGGGAGCGCGCGTCGCTGCTGCCCATGCCGCTGTCGACCTGCTGATCCAGCTCCTCAACTGAAGCCATATACACGAGGGTGAGCGCGCCCCGCTTGCCAGAGTTGTGTCTTAAGAACAGTTATAAGAATAACGCGGCCAGGAGAGGTTCTCGCTCACGTTCGAGCAGCACGTTCTCAGCACGGCAGAGAGAGCGGTTCAGCGGTGCACTCGTGCTGCTCGTGCACTCGCACCGCACGATCCCTCTCTCTCTCTTTCTCGCGCTATGAAGAGAGAGAGAGAGAGAGAGAGAGAGAGATAACCTCGGCCGATAAAGCGCCGGTACCGTATGTATGTACAAGTACAACGCGACTCAAATTTCGTACACGCGCGCGCGATACGAAACCGTGCGAGAAGACGAAACGCGAAGCGCGGATTCCGTACTTGTGACTCGAGACGAGGTTCCCTGCACCGCTGCCCACGCCGCCATTCCCACGAAGACGACCTCGATGACGCTCGATGAACGCGCGCTCGCGGGACGTTTCACGCGCGCAAAGGGGGGGAGGGGGAGGACGGGAGCGGAGGATACGCGCGGAAATTCGCGAGTATCGAAGCTGATCGAGTTGCGTAACTGCAGGCATATGCCCGCGGCGAGCAGGGATGCTCAAATCTTTCTTTATCTTTTTTTTTTTCTAGAGCTTTTATTCGCGTCGTTGTCAATTAAGAATATTAATTACCGACAAATAATTGACAAATTATTATATAATTTATTGATAGCATATGTGTCTACGGAGAATCGTACGTGTGTGACTCCAATCGCAGCGTGATGTCTGTTCTTTCTCGATCTCTAATTCAGACTTAATTAGTTGTCTTATTAATTCCTTCTTTATTCTTTAATCTTTTCTTTCGATAAAGAAGTAATCGAACCGATTAGAAAAAATTCAACAATCATTATAATGACACGATACCTTAGTAATTTGCATTTCCCTCAAGTTTCAAAAACGAAAGGAAAAAAGAAATGTTTATTGCAATATACATATATATACATATATATATATATATATATATATATATATATGTCGAATACGTGATCAAGATTTTAAAGATGCTAAAATATATTATAGTATGGACTTATTGGAATTCATAAAAATTTTTAATTCGTTTTTTGACATTTTATCAATTGACTATTAAAATGGAAAAGAGAATTCTCGATTAGTCTTCCAAAAATTTACTTTGATTAAAAAATTCAATATGCAAATTTTTCCAATTCTATTCAAACATATTAATTGATTATAGCAATAGACAATTTCTGGAGACTTGATAACTTCTCTATCCTGCAGCTAATCAATTACACGCTTTAGAAGATGTTGAAGATTTGTCGTGCGACAAATGAAAAGTAGTATCCTTACCGGCGCGATTAAATGTAGAAATCACGACAATCTCACTTCCTGCTGGGATACATTCAGATCAATTATCTTCAAGACGTCTTTAATTATTCCTCAACGAAATGCCGACAGAACGCCAAGAACGGTTTACTCGTGCGAGCTTTCGGTTTCTCTCTCTCTCTCTCTCTCTCTCTCTCTCTCTCTCTTTTTATTTAACATAAGCTGGAGTAATCCGCATCCGGAGTAGCTCCAAAGTTCAAGTAGCTCATCGTCATCGTCCTAGTCAGTCCCAGTCGGTCCCAGTCAATCCCACTCGATTCTAGTCGGTCCCGCGGACAGTCGTGTACAGCCCTAGTCGTGACTCGTGCAATCGGAAGTCGCGAGTCGTGAGTCGTGATGCGTGTCAAGCCGGCGCCCGGGCACGCTCGATCGAGGCGCTACGACAGTTGAAACGCCAAAGCGAGTCCCGGTCGCACGCTATCGCGGCGCCGCTTGGCGCGATAAAGATCGCGCGGCCGAGACGAGACACCGCACGCACTACCTGAAGGATCGGCGACGAATGGACGCGACGCGCCGCGTCCGCTGCGACACTTAGCGGGCTCCACTTCCTGGGGGGGGACGTGATTCTCGTGCTCCGGACGACGGCGCACGTCCTCGTCGCCGTGCAGCGACCGACCGGTAGACGCGATGGCGAACACCGGGGTGCTGCCGTTCGTGCGAGGCGTGGACTTCAGCAGCAACGACTTCGGCGTGAGTACCGCAGTACATATACCGAGTTTCCGTGGAGGTTAACCTCTCGCGGGGAACCACGCGAGAGAACCTCCGGAACCTCAGCTGCGTCTGAGATTCTCATTTGTGGAACTTTTCGTACATTTATTTTGTTAGCGCTTAATTAACTTTGTTAATACTTAATAGAGATATCTATGTTGAGCGTAATGTAGCTTTGTTCCAAAAAAAAAGAGATAGCCGAATGACATGTCACTTTTGATGCATCAACAAATCGTAACTTGAGCGCGATGATAAGGTTTAGGATTTATCGTATGAGTGAACAATTAATTGCAATAAAGACTGTAAAACTGTACCTCGATATTTTTAGGATGGCAAATTTCCTGAATCCGTGCGTCTCATGACCGGGATACAATGGCTGAAATTAGACAAAACGAACTTGGTGGAGATCCCGGAGGAGATGGGCAAGTTGTTGAAACTGGTAAAGTAATATTCTTGAAAAAAAAATTGTGTAAACATTTATTTACACATAAAAAATATTTTGCGTCATTGTTGTTTACACGACCTAAAAAGATTCATTGTGTTATTTAAATGACTAGAGTCTCATATTAATGCATTTAATGTCCGTCCATTAGGAACATCTGTCACTTGTCAAAAACAAACTGGAACGTTTATACGGAGAGTTGACGGAATTGAACTGTCTCAGGACACTAAACATAAGGCATAATAATATCAAATCCAGTGGTATTCCGGCGGAATTGTTTCATTTAGAGGAACTAACAACCTTAGACTTAAGTCACAACAATTTGAAGGAGGTACCTGAAGGCCTAGAAAGAGCACGTTCCTTGCTCAATCTTAATTTAAGCCATAATCAGTACGTATCAACAGCTTGTACATTATCATTATGACCGTGGAAAAATTATCGAGTAAGCGTCGACGTTATTTTTATCCTTTCAGTATCGAAACCATACCAAATACGTTGTTCATCCACTTGACGGACTTGTTGTTCTTGGATCTTAGTTACAATAAGCTGGAAACGGTGCCACCACAGACTAGACGTTTGGCTAACCTGCAGACTTTAAACCTGAATCATAATCCCTTGGGTCATTTTCAGTTAAGGTAGCAAATGTTTTCATATCTCGATCCTTGGAATATATTTTTTTTCGTGAAAAGTTTTCTTTATTTCTCTCTCAACTTGTTTCAGACAATTGCCATCATTAATGAATTTAACGACGTTACAAATGCGGGACACACAACGAACATTGAATAATATACCTTCTAGTCTAGAAACGTTAACTAATTTGCAAGAGCTCGATTTGTCACAGAATAATTTACCTCGAGTGCCTGACGCGCTTTATTCCCTGTCGAATTTGCGCCGTTTAAATCTAAGTGACAATCAGATAACGGAGTTGTCAACAGCGATCGGTAAATATATTGAACTTTTATCGCCTTAATCATTTAATTTTGTGCGGACTAACGGGAAGACACATCTTCCAGAATTGTGGACGAGATTGGAGACTCTGAACGTGTCGCGAAACAAATTAAGTGCAATACCAGCCGCTTTGTGCAAGATTTTCACATTAAGAAGATTGTATTTAAACGATAACGAATTAGATTTTGAGGGTATACCTTCTGGAATAGGAAAATTATCATCTTTACAGGTTTTTTCTGCCGCTAACAATCATTTAGAAATGATACCAGAAGGATTATGCAGGTGAGTTGTTACTTTTTTTCTTATATTGCCTTACCGTAGGGAGAATAAAAACTTTTTTAAAGATAATACAAAAAAGGATGTATATATATTTTTTAGATGTGGTTCATTAAAGCAATTAATATTAACGTCAAACCGACTGATTACCGTGCCGGATGCCATCCACCTTCTGACTGATTTAGAACAGCTGGATTTACGGGACAATCCGAATTTAGTGATGCCACCAAAACCGACGGAAGTTCAAAGGGGATCGGGCATCGAATTTTATAATATTGACTTCTCGCTGCAACATCAGTTGCGTCTTGCTGGTGCTAATGTACCAGCTCCAGTTCAAGCCGCCAGTACGTATTACGACCATCAGATACGATAAAATAAAATGGAAAAATCTATTATTTTGTATGTAAAAGCATGTTTTTGATTATAGATAAAGATCCAATCGCGCGTAAAATGAGATTAAGAAGAAGGAGAGATCAGGAGGAGGCTGATCAGGATCAGGCCAAAATTCTTAAGGTACGTCATTATTTTACCAGTTATATTGCAGTGTTTTTACAGGCGATATATAAGCGAAGAAACTTATAATTATGATTGGTTTCAGGGCATGAAAGACATAGCGAAAGAGAAGAACAAGGATAAGGAATGTGAGGAATCGAAAGCGGAATCCTTAAAGTGAGTGGAATCTATGAACTTGTTGCTGTACATCACATCTTTTTTCCGACGTAGAGTTCTTCTCACGTTTATCATACCAATAAAATTAATGATTAATTTGTTTAGACCCAAGCGATGGGATGAGGCTTTAGAGAAGCCACCGTTGGATTATTCCGAGTTTTTTGACGAGGACGCGGGTCAAATACCCGGCTTGTCGGTCTGGGAGATAGAGAACTTTCTGCCGAACGAGATCGAGGAGGTGGCGCACGGCAAGTTTTACGAGGGCGATTGTTACATCATCCTGAAAACCGGGATAGACGAAGGTGGAGCGTTGACCTGGGCGATCTATTTCTGGATCGGGGAAAAGGCGACAGTACGTATACTTTCGAATCAGGGCAATAAAAACAAGGCTGGGATTGTATGGTGTAGGGATTATTTCACGTAGATTATTGCACATACAAACCGCGTGCAATTAATTTAATTGTCTCGCAGTTAGATAAAAGAGCGTGTGCGGCGATTCACGCCGTAAATCTGAGGAACTACCTAGGCGCACAATGTCGGACAATCAGGGAAGAACAAGGGGACGAATCGGATGAATTTCTGATGCTGTTCGATTCGGGTATCACCTATATCGAGGGCGGTCGCACGTCGTCCGGTTTTTACACAGTGGAAGATACAGTAAGTTTAATTCTTATACATTTTAATTATGGTATATGTTTTCGAAGAAAGACTTTAAATTACATCGAAATTTTTTTTTTAGCCAGCGATTACTCGTTTATATCGAGTGCACGCGGCGGGGGCTTCTATACATTTGGAACCAGTTCCAGTCTGTGCCGAATCCCTGGATTCCGACTATGTATTTGTTCTTGACACGGGGAATAAGATATTCATGTGGTACGGAAAGAAGGCGAAGAGCACGTTAAAATCAAAAGCGCGACTGATGGCAGAGAAAATTAATAAGAACGAACGGAAAAATAAAGCCGAGATTCTAACGGAGGTCATGGGTGCCGAGTCCGAAGATTTCTTCCTGCATTTAGGAGTGGAGGAGCACGAACAAAAAAATCTGCAAATTGTGGTAAGTTTCCTTTTTACGACACACAAAGCAACAGTAATAAAAATATAATTATACTGAGCATAATAATTATAATAAACATAAGTTTGAAATTTTATTTAATTTTACTTTTAATGTATTTAACAATTATTTCTTCAATTTTGTATTATTATAATTTTTTATTTATTATTATAATCATTTCGCTTATTTTTACGATAGGAGCACGTGGATCCAAATTTTGTGCCTCTCGTGCCCAGATTGTATCAAGTTCAACTCGGAATGGGCTATCTGGAACTACCGCAGATCGAGGTTCCTCACGGAAAGTTAACGAACACCTTGTTAAATGTTCGCAATGTGTATATACTAGACTGCTATTTAGATGTATACGTTTGGTAAGTGTAAAGAATGCTTGAGTCACTCTTAAATCTATACGACCAAATTAATTATGCGTATGATTGTAGGTTTGGTAAAAAATCGACGAGATTAGTACGCGCCGCTGCTGTGAAACTATCTCAAGAATTGTTCAACATGATAGAAAGGCCAGAGTACGCGATGGTAACGAGATTGCAAGAGGGTACTGAATCACAGGTATAAACATACTTCTTTAGTAAAAATTCAATTTACAAGTTCTTTTCATTGAAAAATATTTGCTTTACACATTGTACAGATCTTCAAGTCTAAATTTACCGGATGGGACGAAGTAATCGCCGTGGATTTCACTAGAACGGCTGAATCGGTCGCTAAAACTGGGGCGGATCTCACTAAGTGGGCTAAACAGCAGGAAACAAAAGTACGTTTATGTTTCATATAATAATTGCATTTTTTGTCCTGTTATTTGTATTTAAAATAAATTTTTATTCGTTTCTCATGTAATTTTTAGGCGGATTTGGCCGCTTTATTCATGCCGCGGCAACCACTGATGTCGGCTGCCGAAGCGCATCAACTGATGACGGAGTGGAACGACGATTTAGAGGGAATGGAAGCGTTGGTGTTAGAAGGAAAAAAATTTGTACGTCTGCCGGAGGAGGAATTAGGACATTTTTACAGTGCGGATTGCTACGTTTTTTTATGCCGGTATTGGATGGTATGTAAAACGTATCATTCTATCGAATGCGCAAAGCTACCTAAATTTACTTGAAAATTATCATTTTACTTTTTTTTTTTATTGAACCAGCCACTGGATATAACGGAGAACGAAGACGGTGAGGAGCAATACGAAGACGATTATCAATGTACGGTGTATTTCTGGCAAGGCAGAGACGCGGGAAACATGGGATGGCTGACGTTTACGTTCAGGTAAAGATCATAGATATATTTATCCTACGATTGTCAATATCAGATGAGTCATATCTTTTCTATTTCAGTCTGCAAAAGAAATTCAAGTCATTGTTCGGCGAAAACCTGGAGGTTGTGAGGACACATCAGCAGCAAGAAAATCTAAAGTTCATGAGTTATTTCAAACGAAAGTTCATCATTCACCAAGGCAAACGTAAGCAGCCAAAGACTGCGGGTAATGCCAAAGTGGAGTTCTATCATTTGCGAAGTAACGGCAGTGCCTTATGTACTCGGCTCATTCAAATACCGGCGGATTCGACGTTACTGAATCCTGCTTTCTGGTGAGAGACATTACGTTAAGTACGCATGGTTACATTCCGTTTGTAATATACATCTTATCTTTTTTTTTTAAATTTACAGTTATCTCTTAAATGTGCCATTCAACAATTCCGACGAAGGAACCGGAATCGTGTACGCGTGGATCGGGTCGAAGGCTGATCCCGAAGACGCTCGTCTAATCGGAGAAATAGCAGAGGAAATGTTCAACAACGTGAGTTAAAAATATTTTGTGCTTAGATCCCAAAGAGCTTAAGTTTGATTTCGTTCAATTTGAGATTAATTGCAAGTGTCTTAAATATTCTTTTTCGTTCCTAAATAGAATATTTTGTATTCTATAAATGAAGAAAAATGTGTTTGTCTCTTTCACCGTTGATAATAAATATAAATATAATTGAAAATAGCCATGGATAAGCCTGCAAGTATTAAACGAAGGCGAGGAACCAGACAACTTCTTCTGGGTGGCGCTTGGAGGGAAGAAACCGTACGACACTGATGCGGAGTTTATGAATTACACAAGACTATTTAGATGTTCCAACGAGAAAGGATACTTTACAATCAGCGAGAAGTGCACCGATTTTTGCCAAGTAAATTTCTAACATAGAAAAATATTCTGCTATTAATGGAATGGCTTCTGGTGTATCGCCGGAATTTTTCAAGTTTTTCTTTACAATAAATGGATAACGTGTTTTTTTTTCTGCAGGACGATTTAGCAGACGACGATATAATGATTCTCGATAATGGAGAGCAAGTATTTCTCTGGCTGGGTACTCGCTGTTCAGAGGTTGAAATCAAACTGGCTTACAAGTCAGCTCAGGTGAATTATTATACAAAAGTTCAACTGTCATAATTCTTATGAAAACGTTGCAAATATTTAGCGACAAAATCAAATTAATTCCGAGCGGTTTGGACGGATGCAAAACAAAGAGTTAGCGAACATTAACATTTTCTTCTTCTTCTTCCAGGTATATATTCAACACTTGCGCGTGAAGCAACCCGAGAGACCCCGTAAATTATTTTTAACTGCCAAAGGTAAGGAATCCAGAAGATTCATGAAATGCTTTCACGGCTGGGGCTCGCACAAGAGGCCACCGCAGTAAAATCGAGTCAGTGCTCACTACGCTTACCGTTTCAGAGTTAGTTTTTATAATCGCAGGCAGGGTATGACACAAGCGCAACATTGTTATGTAGATTCGTAATGCGTCCGCGATCTTCGTTCTTAACTTCACGTTTCATATGCCGGCCAAATGGAGGTCAATCCATCGCAATAATCTGTGTATCCTCGCGATGCGAACGATCGATTAGGAAACGGAATAATTGTTCACTAAACAACAACGAATCTAATTAGTAAAGTTTACATTTTCGCGTTTGCTTCTTCGCTTTTTCGACTTACTGAATAATTCATCACCGAATTGCTTTCTCGAGTACTCGAGCGCCAATCTGCTTGGTATACGTAATTCAGATTTCTATTTTTATTAGCACGGGCACCTTTTCGACTCAGTCTCATATATTTCTTAATTCAAACGGATGCGAATACAAAGAGTTTTTCCATCCTCGAGTCCAACAAGATTCTCACTGTGATGCGATTCTCTCCTATTTTACACTGTGAAAGAGATTCGTCTACCTTAACCGTTATAATTCATACTCCGTGTATTCAGCGAGAGACTTATTTATTTATTTATTCACATATATTTCCGTATTTATGAAGTTTTTCGTACAGACTAGACTATGTATCCATTTTTATTTCTCGCAAGTTTACGCGTTTCAGATAAGATGTGATAGACATTTTTAAAAATTGTTCGATGAATTGTGATACAAATGTTTATCGTCGAATTGTAACGTTGAAAAAAAAAAAGCATTTTCTTTTTATTCTTTTGTAGAGAAATAATTCTTCCATAAGAAGATATATCAACTTGTATAGCCCTGAAAGGGTTAAGATAGGATTTGTCCACAAGTTTTCTAGATTCGCGCGCTTCTAGCAAATACCGTCAAAATTGTCAATTGAACAGGATTATTGGAAATCGCATTTGGAAATTTGTGAATACTAATCGAAGACTGAAAAAGAGATACGTGTAATTATAATCATGTACACATCTGACTATTAACACCGCCCGATTGTACAGATGCCATAATGATCGTTTTTTGTATTACTTACATTGTATTTAACACAATTTATTTATAGATATAATATATATACATAGATTTTGTAAAAGTTCTACTTAACTCTCAACAATTGTATAAATAAATATTTCTATGACAATTTACATAATCTCAGGTATTGAAGCGTAAGTAAGGTACCTAAGTAGAGTGCAAGCGAAGAGACACCTCTTCTTTCAACTGTTATGCAAATTTCATGCAATTACTGGCCCTTGCGTCAATGCGACTTCAAACTTGAATCTGAAAACAAGTCAAACGATTTTCTAAGCTAGGCAAAAATTAACCAACAAAAATCGAAATTTCAAATTACAGTCAATCAAAGTGTGAAAATTACAGGCGTTAGCAGCCACATTAGAATTGACGACTAATCAAAATTTACTATTGTCTGTTTCTTCGGCACAAAAGCATGTTTTATTATATATATATTTTATATAATTTATATAATTATATATTTTTATATATAATTATATTTATAACTATATAATTATATATTTTATATAATTTTACATATTATATATATATTTATGTTCTTTTCTACGTGTATATGTGAATTGAAAAATTGGAACAATGAATAATAATGTCATCTTTGCACGGTAGACCGTTCTCGCACATACGAATGCCACAAGTTATCCTACAAATATAAAAAAAGAATTACCCTCAATTAGTATTAAGAGCAACCTCTAACGGGCTGAGTATTTTCATCAATCACAACGGAATGAAGCCAGCTGGTCGCTAATCGTCGTCATCGTCGTCGTCGTCATCGGAGGGCACGAAGAGATCGTTCTCTTCCAGGAAGTTGGCCACATTCTTGCTGATCGTGGCACCGACCAACAGGCCGAATATCACACTGCTGACAACACCCAGGAAACTGAACGGCGTCCTCTTCGGCTCGGGTAGGATCGCCCCGGACGGCGTGGTGATCGACGACCGGAGAAAGGACTTGGACACTAGCGTGTCCGTCTTCCTGAGAACGACGGTCTTTCCGCGAAACAACGGTGTCACCCTGTGCAACAGCATCCTGCTTCCGCGGGGTTTATTCCCGGTGACGGGGTCGATCGCGCGTTCCCTTCCCGGAATTCGCGAGCCGGTAGTATCCAGGCAGAACTTAGCACATCCTTGATGGAAAGGCTATATTCAGCGCGAATAGCGCGAATACCCATTCACTCAGTCGGTGTCGTCTCGAAAATAAAATCTAAAAGTCCCTTTGCTTTTACAGTTTTCCCCAGCCACTATGAGTGGCGCGCCACTCGCCAGAGAGAGAAGCATGCTTCTCTCTCTCTGATGTAACGTATGTCTTCGCCTGTTTGTATTGGCAACACTGCGCGCATTTCGGCATTCGATTGGAGGTTAGATTGGAGCATGTTGGAGCCGGAGCACGTCGGAGCAGAGAGTGACATCCTGAAAGATATATGTTTTGCAAGGTAGCGGATGACGAGGGTGGATGTCAACTCTGACTGGAAGTCATGTTTTACGTAATAGGATTAGGTCTAGGCGACGCGAAGGATGTCACTGTCAAAGGGCTCGAAATTATTAGGAAATGCGACCGCGTGTACCTGGAGTCTTACACCTCTATCTTGACAGTACAGCAGGAAACCTTGGTTTGTATTGTATTCTAAATGTCGAAGATAACATACAACTCTCTCGATTTACTTTCGTAAAGCGTTCAATCGTGAAACTTTTAACTTAAAGACATATCGAGTGTAATTTTTCTACGCTATATATGCTTAAATTTGTTTTATATTAGGAAGAATTCTACGGGCGTCCCCTGATCGCAGCTGATCGCGAGCTAGTGGAGAACAGCGCGGACGAAATACTGCCGACGAGAGACGATGAAGATGTTGCCTTTCTGGTTGTGGGAGATCCCTTTGGAGCTACCACTCACACGGATTTGGTTCTGCGTGCAAAGGCAAAAGATATACAGGTGAACGGGAGCAGTGTTTACTAGAATTATTATATATTTATGACATTCTGAAATATTATCATTATTTATGATATTCTGAGAAATATCATAATTTATCTTATATTACCATACGTATCTGATAAAGGTTACTTAAGAATATTATCCTTCTGATCAGGTGAAAGTCATACACAATTCGTCAATTTTGACCGCAGTTGGGTGTTGCGGCTTGCAACTTTATTCGTACGGGGAAATCGTTTCGATTCCCTACTGGACGGACACTTGGCGACCGGACAGCTTTTACGACAAGATAGCTTCCAACAGGCAGAGAGGACTGCATACCCTCTGCCTCTTAGACATCAAAGTTAAAGAGCCTACTCTAGAAAGTATCACGAAGAAAAAAAAGGAGTACATGCCTCCGAGATTTATGAGTGTCAACGAGGCTGCTAGTCAATTGATAGCGATACTCGACAATAAGATTCAAGAGGGCGATAAAGATTTAGGTCAGTGGCAACAACTCTATTGGAATGCTATAATGATTACGTAATAAATCATACAAATTGTACAATAGCAAAATTATAGTAATTAAATAACGATTATGTAATGATTACAAATAATAATAATTTAACTCAGTGATGTAATTATATATTATTTTTGCATTTAATAGCGTTCACGCGGGAGAGCCTGGCGGTAGGCTTAGCGCGGGTGGGCTGCGAGGACCAGCGCATTGTCGCTTGTTCCCTGCAAGATATGACGCGTGTGGACTTGGGACCGCCGCTACACTGTCTCGTCGTACCGGCTGAAGTACTCCATGCCCTCGAGAAGGAATTTCTAACGGAGTACGCAACTCAATGACTGTGAGAGAAATAAGCCGGACTTTTTTCTCTAATAAAAAAAATAGATAAATAAGATGAATTCCCTTTTTTGTACAGGACTTGGATAAAATAAATTGATCGTATCAAACGATTAAACGATGCATTTATCTTAAGTGCAAGATGTCAATAATTTGATACGATGGAAATTTATATTTTATTTATTTTTAATGGAAATACACTTTTTTATTTTATTTTCGTAAAAATTTAAATATAAATTATTACATCTATATTATATTAATTACAATTTTAATGTCTACGATTTTTAGAGGTACGTTTGATTTTGCAGTTTTCATAATCCTAAAATTCATACAGGACTTGGATAAAATAAATTGATTGTATCAAACTATTAAACGGTGCATTTATCTTAAGTGCAAGATGTAATTTGATACAATGGGAATTTATATTTTGTTACTTATTTTTAATGAAAATACACTTTTCTATTTTATTTTTGTAAAAATTTAAATATCAATTATTTATATATCTTTCTCAGAAGCAATTATTTCAATTGTAAATTTACATCTATATTACATTAATTATAATTTTAACGTCTACGATTTTTAGGGGTAAGTTTATTGATTTTGCAGGTTTCATAATGCTGAAATTCATAATAGAATTTCCGAGCTTGCATAAAACTTACATGAGCGCAGTTGTCGCAGTTGCATTATTAAATGTTCGATATTTCCGGCCGCGTAACGGGTGATCGTTTGCAACCGAACCGTATCAGTTGCAACGTAAGACCATCACGGAAGGCAGAGAGAGATTGGCGACCGCGCGCACCGTGTTTACACGGGCCGCATTATTATTCCATTCGCTTTGGCCCGCTTCCATATTCTAAGCCGCGTATAATTCCGCGGCGGAGTCACGTGGCCGTGCGCCAGGGCAAACTAATCAATGGACAAGCCATCGACCATCGCGGCGACGAGGCTGGTATCGGCCGATTCAGTTGTGCCACGGGGGTGCGCTCGCTCGGTGCATGGTGGCAACCCTCCCGTTTCGTTTCCCTCCTCCAGCAGGTACACCCGGTGTTTCTACGACGTACGAAAGACAGCGATATATTCACGACATTGCTCCAATTTAGGTTCTCGCACTTCGACAGGTATACGGAATTGTACGAGCACCGTTGTTCCGCGATGAACTTTGCACCCCGATACGCACACGTATATTCACGTAACTCTGTAATTGTTTCTGCAAAAAGAAATATACGTTACGATTGTAATATTTTTTTGCAATTATATCTCCCCCGCACCCTGCAGTTAATTAGTTTGAAGAGATATACACATATATATGGAATATATCTTTTCCGTACTGAGATCAAATAAAAAAAAATAATAATCAATTTAAAATAAGAAAAAATAAATTTATTTGGAAACGTTTTGTCAAAAACTTACTGCTAATTAATTATCAAAGCTAGTACAAAAGTTGTCTTTTGTACAGGTAGTTCGAAACTTAACGAATACAGCACAAATGCACTAAATAGTTATTTCTTTTACATATATCTAGAAAATTGTAATTTGTATCGCTTTTTAAATCTTCCTACTCAGAGTGTCCTAGAAAATTAAAATTTTAGATAAGGCAAAAATTTCCGAAATGCTTTGATGAAATTTGATGAAGGATTTGTATTTTTTTGTAATCATACAAGTTCCAAAATAATTCTATAACTTTTTTAAATATCTAGAACGCAAATGCAAGAATTATACTGGAAGAGTCTTTGAAAAAAAAGATGCAGTATTCTACGATGTATCGATCGTCGCAGTGAAGGAAATGTCGCCGGGCTGCGAAATTCACGTACAAGATAAGGAAATAATCGGAAGCATTATGAGATATAGTAAAGTGGCACGATGCTAAGTCCGACCCCGCCGATCGATCGTTCCAGCCTGTGTCCTGGCACAGGATACCTTATCGCGCCGCGGGTGCCTCACGGTCTCGCGACAGTAGTCGAGGGTCTTACGAGGGAGGTCCTACGTCACCGTCCCGAAGACATATACATTTTTGCGGCCCGCCACTTCGAGAAGCTGCTGAAGCTGCGGGAGGAGTACCATGTCGAGGAGTATTGCAATCGTGAATTCAGCCATGAATGCAGTCGCGATTTTAATCTATGGCCCGCCAAGGCAACTCAAAACATCAGAAAACTTTCGAACGGCGGTTGGTCCCTGGAGAAGGAGATCGAGATCTTCGAAAGGCGCGAACAGGTAGCCGCTGATGCGGCTGAGGAGAGCCAGGAGGACGTCTCCACTGACAGAGAAAGTAAAAAAACGTCGAGGCAGACATGCTCGAAAGGCCCTGCGACTACGAAGAAAACCTCGAAGAGGTCGAAAGACAACGAGACAACGTCGGACGCTCGCGCGACAAGAATCATTTCGCAGATGACCGCTCTTCATGGCCCTGGCAAGAATATTCAAGCCAAGGATATCAAGCAGGAACTCAGGAAGAACAAACTGAGTGGCGAGAAATCGAAGGCGGCCGACAGTGTGGAGAAAGGGATTCGAGGCGATAGACGACCCAGGACAAGGGTTTCCAAAACGGATAAAGGGTCTGTAGAGGAAGTCGAACGTGCCACGACGACGACGACGACGACAAGCTCGAGAACCTCCGCACGGAGACCATTGAAAAAGGTGCGCCGGATCGAGACAGAGTCCGAGACTGAGACGGAACGTGAAGTCGCGGCCAAAGTTGGACTTGAAGATGCAGGGTATAATAATTTATTTTACTATAATAATTTTATCTTCCTAATTAATTTATCGTAATTATTTAATATTTTTAAAATTTCGATAAGTACTTTAGAAAATTTTACGTAAATATAAAAGGATTTGTCTGATTGTGAATATTCTTTTTTTAAATGTCTGTAGACGCGCGAGATCGAGCCGCGAGGAAATCGCTCGGACCGAAAGCAGGGAGAGAAAATCTGAAACGCGGTTCTCCGAACATTCCTCCGCGAGGAAAGTATCGTCGAGAGCGCTCAGCATGGATCGCATCAGGGCGTATGTGCTGCGCAAATTCGCGAGCACCGCGAGCCTGGAGGTGCTGCGATCGCCTACGTACGTGGAGCAGGTGCAGGAGGTGATCGATCGCGCGGCGCCGATCATCAAGGAGAAGCTAGAGGAAATTGGAAGACCGCGGGGAAAGCGTTCGAGGTCTGTCGAGCTTGCCTGGAATGAGGAATCGTTTCCTTGGTACGTTCGAGAAGAAAGGAGACACGGCGATGAAGAAGAGAGCGGAAGAAATAAAAGTGGAAGCGGGCTGGAGCGAAAAGTTGATATTGTGAAGAAAGAGGAGATGAAGGATTCTCTTGGAAGGAACGAGACGATTCCGACCGTCGAGAAAGAGGAAAAGAAATCAAGGAGGCGCAGTGTAGGATCAGGCAAAAAATCGCGAAGGCGCGAGAGTGGTGATTTCGGGGTCGTCGATCAAGTCGACGACAACTCGAAGCATAGCAACATGGAACACGAGTCCGGCGCAACGCGCGACACCTTGGAAGCGAGACTGACCGCCACGCAGAGCATCCTGGAAGGTATCTCAAAATCAACGTCCGAGTTGGGCGGTGCTCGCAGAAGCGATCCTGCCGGAAATGAACCGTCGGAATCGGAAGTCTCCGACCACATAAATGTCGTTTCTCTGCCGGTCGTAAGGCCGCCCTCTTCCAGGAATTCCAGGAGCGCCGCCAAGAATGGTTCGGATAGTCTGACGCTACCGCCCATCTCACCGGAAGCTCCCAAATCGACAAAGAAAAAGGATGAATTGTCCTTACCGGTTTTGTCGACGGCAGCGACCAACAACGGCAATCATTCCGCCAGAAAGCTTCCGCAGGAGCAAGATGTCTCGAAGGACGCGGAGGAGGCCTCGACGATGCACGACATTACGAGTGATATAGAAGACATAGCGGTCCTTCCTGAAAACGGTCACGAAGATGCGATTATAGATGTGACGCAGGATTCTGGCAGTGATCTACTATCTGTTAATAAAGAAGAAGGTGAGAGAGATGAAGATGTGGACAAGATTTTCGACGACAAACGCGGAAGTCTCGAGGAGTTTGAAGAATTAGAGAAATTTGAAGAGGGGAAGAGATCGGAGGTCTTCAGGGATAGTTTAAACGTTACACCGGAAGTGGCTGACGTACCGCTAAGGCCAGACTCATTGGAACCTGATGAGAACGAAGTCAAGCTTCAAGATGATAATGCGGATCCTGTACGAGAGAATACGTTCGATAGATTGAAAGATAAACTGATCGAGATCGAGATGGCGGAACGCAGTATTGAGAAAGCGTTGGCTTGCCAACAGGTCGCGACGTGTGACATTGGCGAAATGACGAGCCAAGTGGAAAAGTCGGTGACTGACGGGAAGATAAATGAAGCGGAAAAGCCGACTAATGAGGCGGAAGAGACTGTGAGTGAGATACGAAAGTCGACGGACGTGGGAAAAATACCGATAAATAAAAATGGTGAGGAAGGGAAAAAGAATTATAATGATGAAAAAAGGAAATCGATGAATGAGGAGATAAAAAATGTAGCAGAAATATCAAATAAAACGGAAGATTTAAATATAGATGAAAAATTAACAAATAAAGCAGAAAAAATGGAAAGTGAAATAGAGGGATCGACTGATAAAATAAAAAATTTAACAAATAAAACAGAAACAACGAATGGAATTGAAAATTTGACTATCGAAAATGAAGCAGAAGGATTAAAGAGTAAAGGAAAAATATTAAAGAACGGAGGAAAGGCAATTGATCAAACGGAGATA